GAAAAAGGGCATATTTTGCACTGCAAATTGTTAGGAAAGAAGTGAAAAATAAAACCACTTTTATGCAGTAACAACACTGTGAGTTTTGTGCATTTTTCTAGCCACCGTACCTCAAATATTATATTAAAGCACTTCCTTCTGAGAAACATCACAACATTTAGAGCTTAGTTGTTGTTTTTTTCCAAGGTAAGGGAGAATATGATAGAGGTGTCAAAGACAGGGAGAAAGTTTTCTCTCTTTTCTCAAAACAGTAGATGCTGGAGTCATCCAATGAGACATAGTAGAGACTTAGGACAGAGAGAAAGGAGTATTTCTGAGCATGGTGCATCATCCTACTCTGGAATTCACCGCCACAAGACATAGTAATTGCCTTGGATGGTTTTCAAAGAGGATTAGTCTTCTGCATGAATTTAATCTCTCAAGGCCTTCAATTATGAGAGCTCTCTAGTATTGGAGGCAATACACCTCTTGATACTGGCTGCTTGGGAACATGAAAAGAAGTGAGTTCTGACTTGCTTCTAAGTTTCTGGTTGGCCACAGTGAGAAGAAAATGCTAAACTACATTGAACTTTGAGGTGATCCAGCACTACTCTTCTTAGGTTTTTATGATTTAGTGCCAACTCCATTAAGCTTCCTAGTGACTTTCAAAGCCTCTATAAGCCATGACATTGCTATGACAACCCAAGCCTTTGGTAATGAAAAATGCATAAAGTATAGCATTCTGAGTTCTAAAAAGCATAAGCAGGGAGCAAATGTTGCCAGCTAAGGTAGAATAGCCCATAGAATATTCTATGACTCTGTACAGTTCATATATCCATCCAACTAACAATAAAGTTGCGTGAGAAGTCACAGCATGTGGACACATAACTGCTCCACTGCCAGCGTCTGCCAAGGGATGGGGGGAAGGGGGGCAATTTAAAAACACAGAAAAAATGACTAAGGTTGCTTTCTCAACATATACCCCGTGTTCAATTAATATATCAAGATACTCAGAGAGCAAGAAGGAAACTATGCTTCACTGAACACATGCAGATAGATAAAAGTCCTACCTCAGCTGTGGTGAAGGAAGAGTTACCAGAATTCTGAAGACACTAAAAATCAAGGCAGAGAGCAACCTCTCCCGACTTGGGGAACCCTAGATGTCCTGGATTACAACTTCTATCATTGCCAGCAGCATGGCCATTACTTATGCATGATGAATGGTGGACGTTGTGCTCCAGGCTTGGCAAACTGCAATATCCTGATGTCTTGTACACTGTATGTCAGAGTTATTCCATGATCTCTTCTGTCCTGTTCAGGCATTTATCAGTCAGATGTCATCCTAGCCACAAAGAATTGGGACAATCCAGTTCTCTTATTCAGATGCGCACAAGTGGAAGTGAATGGAGCACAGAGGGTGGCAATACAATTTCTTATGCTAGGAAAAAAGGGTGACAAGATTTGGTTGCAACATTAAGAACTAGGGCTATTCTAAATATTTTTTAGCTGGAAGGAAGCAGCTTCTAAACTTCAAACTACTTTCTCCCCTTCCTTGCCAGCAAGGCCAGCTTCAGTCTCCTCTTCAAACCTACTTTGCAAGCTATTACGTGCAGAACGCCATGTTGGTGGGCCTACCTCCTAGCCACCCCCCTACATGCCCACATACAAAGAAACACAAAAACCAAACTGTTCCAGAGAGCCAGTGAGGTGCATCCAGCAGATAGGAATCACAGAGATCTAGAATAAATGCTCAATGGGGGATTTTGGGATAGCCTTCGGCTATTAACATGTGGGAAGTGCCTCTGGTCCTGCTCCCATCTCCTCATTTGATGAGGATAGCCAGCAGTGAGACGTAAGCGTTCTCAGCTGAATGCAGTTAAAAGCTCACAAGATTCCTGATCAAGGAGAATATTGATTCAAGCTTCCCCCCTATACAGGGAGGCTGCTGCTGGAGCATGTGCTCTCATCTCCCCTCTATGAATAGTGCGCAATGCATAAAGGAGTGTTATATCTCAGCCTAACTTATCTCGGAGAGCTGTTGTAGGGAGTAGAAGCAATATATACCTTTTTGAAAAAAGGCCCAGTAAAAATTAACAGAGGGTTAGAACTGGCCTCCCTTTCCTTAAAATTACACTGCAATGAGGGAATACAATTATGAGAACGCATTGAATTTGCGGGATGATGGTACTAGTTAAAAATTCTTTGCGAGGTGAGGATATCTGAACCGAGGGAAGGGGGACAGAGACAAAGACAGGAGATGCACTACCTACCCCTTCCTGGAACTTCATGCCCCCATCCCTGTCTGAGAATCACTGATCTACACAGAAAGTCAGGATTCACTCTTTTCAGGTTCTTCAAAACAAAACAAAAAGCGAGAAACAGCACTGACTTTTTAGTTCCTACATAAGTGGGCCTGGGTTCACCATACATTATGTATTATCTGCCCGACCTTCAGTGGTTTTCTCTGAGATTGTTCACGGTTCCTCAGTTAGGTATGGTATGTATTTTAGCAGAGACCACTGATGTTATGAACTTGTCTATGACTGATTCTTTCAAAGTGATAATCTATTTCTAGTTCTTTTTATGCAACCCGAGTGACTTTTAAGTTTAAGGAAGGTATAGCTGTTGTTCCCAAGGGGCGAAGACATGAGAGACCACGTTATCAGGGCTTCAGTATGGAAATTCCTTTTTATGCTAATTTAGGGCACTCCGGAACATGAAATCCTTTGCCCACTCTTGCCTTTAGCCAGAAATATCTGCGGGGTGTATGTGCGTGTGTGCATGTGTGTGTGTGTGTGAGGGGTCTCAAGCAAGACAGAATTATGAAAGCAACATTGCACTGTTGCAAAACAAGCCTGCCCCTTTGTATATGCGTCATTAAGTTGAAAACATGCCTGAAAAGGGAGGAGCTTGTAGTTCAATGCTGATATTGTCATTTTGGCAAAAGCAGGAAGCTTCTGTGGCCCCCATGCTCTTATCCCCAAAGCAGTGCCTACACCAAACCCAAAAAAATTGCTTCTGAAAACCTGCCTTCACTTCAGGGAAACTTCCAGAGACATTGCAAGAGAGCAAAATGCATTTAGGGGGCAGTCATAAAGTAGCATCGTCCTCTCCTAATCCTCATGCTGATTATGAAGATGGTGCATGGGTAGAAGTACATTACAGTTCTACATCGTCCCTAATGGTGGTCAATTCTGCTTTTGTTCTTTCCCAACCACACAAGGAACATCTTGCAAGATGAAAATGTGTTCATTCTTCTAAGCACAATTGGCAGAAAAGTTGTGAAGCTTTTTATAAGAAACTTATTCATTTATTGAAACACCTTCCTGTTTATTCTAAAACTCAAAATGGCTTACAATAAATAATAAAAATCTTCCCAGGTTGAGCAATACCCTCAGATTTATGTCAGCACTTTCTTTGGCACAAAAGGGTATTGTGCCCTGGGAATTCATGGCAGGAAAGAAGATTGATCTTAGTAGGCGCAAACTAGAATCAAAGCAGCAAGAACTGGGAGCTGTGAGATCCAGTGATCTCCCAACGTCATTAACCTACCCTCATTTAAATGTTCTCAAATTTTAATGATTGGAAAGCAGAGTAGGTTGCCAATTAAAAAAAAAAAAACTTGAAGTCAGGAAGGACAAAGGTCATGCTATAAAGAAAACAAACAAACAAACACAAAATGCAGGAATGGGTCCAGCCAAGCAAAATTATCTTAGGTAACAGTTTTGAGGTTACACTGATTTGTGTAATTGGAAACGTGTCTAAAACTCAGATGTGAGATCTCAAAAACCAGTGTTTAAAGTGTCCATTAGTAAGGAAGGTATAACCTTGCTGTGTCCTTTTGGAGGAGCTCAATTGGCTACTTAAACCCCAGGCTGCATGCTGCCCCCAATCTCATGCGTGCAGCTTTTTTCAACCACAATTGCTGAAAACTGGCAGTACACAAGCTCCCCCGACCCGAGCCCCATCCATTTGCATCATCACAGAACAGACAATTATCTTGACAATTCCAGCAGGGGCCTCAATTCTTCTGTAGCCAGGACTAGGGATCACTTTTGTAGTACCTTGGTACCCAATATTTCTTGTTTGGATCTTTCATCTTCTAAACATTGGAGCGGGGGGGGGGAGGTTGGGAGCCTGATGGCTTAAGTGGAATTAGAGTGTCTGTGCATGGGATAGAGGGTTATCTAGATCTTCTTCCATCTCCTTCATGACCCCAGTTAATTCACATCAAAGAGCCAGTGAGAAGGAACAGTTGGAGATGGTTACTGTTGGAACATGTCTGCCTTCTGCTCACTCCACTAGCTCTTCTCTATGCCTAACCATTCTGCTCTGGCAAACAGGATTCAGTGGTTGATCTGGGAAGCTAAACAGGGTCGAACCTGTTAAATACTTGGGTGGAAGACAGCCTAGATATCCTAGACTGAGAAGTTAAAGAAGGCAATGACAAACCACCTGTAACTGGATGAAGCCACCGGTTGAATCTGACTCAAGGGCATCTTTCCATTATTATGTGCAGGCCAAGCCGCTATGGGTATGTTCTCATGACACACCAAGTTTTGGCTTATGCTAATTATGGGTAAAAGAGGTAGGAATATTTTAAAAAGTGCTGGCAGCAATCTACCCATCTCCCTCCTCTGAAACTGAAGCCCTGGCTACTCTTGAGTGACCAGCTTGCTGGCCAGCCTCTTTTTTTAAGGAAATAAACAAACAAGGCTAAGCCATTGTACATGGCAGTGGGGGAAGGCATCTTAAGTATCTGCAGGTGGGGGAGATGTAGTCAAATCAGAAGCAACAGAGTTGCTGGAGAATCAATTCTGGTTTGTGGCTAGTCTTACACTCAGCTCAGTGTCCAGATGCTAGGAATTAATAACTGCTTGACCACCCAGTGGGTTTGGGCATACACGGAGTCATGAATGAAGCAAGCTACCATAATAGAAGCCATGGCGCTAGATTGCTTTGAAGCAGAGGCTTATTTATTTATGTATTTATTTATTTATCTTTCATATTTATATAGCCTCCCATCTCACACAAGGTGACTCTGGGCGGCATACAACAATTAATGCAAATTAATTTAGATGTGCAAATGTGCCTTTGTTCAAGAAAGCCCAATACATTATCCTTCTCCTTCAGAATTAGGTGTTAGGACTGAGGTGAGGCAGTAAAGTATGTAATCTGAAAGAAAGAGACATGAGGAAAAGTGAAATGAAGAGAAGTGAAACAGAAATAAATACATCTCTTGGGTTGTAAATTTGTGTTTTAATGATGCATCATTCCTCTGTAAGCATAAAATAGCAATAAAGATTGATTTTACTGTATTATTAATCCTGTGCTAGTCTCCATTTCTTCTTACTGCTACCAAAAAAGTGCAGAAAAGAGATCCAATATCTGGAGAAGCCAATTCTTCAGCCTAAGGATCACCAACTGCTGAAACTTCTGCTTTATAAAGTACATCTAAGTCGCTACTTCTCTGGGCTCTGAGTTTAACTCTGAGAAATTAAATTAAGACACACAAAAATGGCATCAAAAGCCACTCAGGAACAGAAAGCATTCACATAGGACAAGGGAAATACCCTGCCACTGATGGGTATATTAAAAGGAACTACAGTTAAGCACTGCTTCATATGAGGGAAATCTGCAGATACTTTATTCACAGAAGATAAAAAAAGAGAAGAGAAATCTGCAGCTCCAAACAGCCCCTTTCAAGCTATAGAGAAGAATGACACCGCAGAATGAAGTGTTACTGGATATGTTTAGTATGAGGCACTATATACTGAACTAGAACGCAGGAAAGAAAAGTATTTGAGGGTATAAACAAAATCTATCTCAGTGATGTTGCCCTCATCTTGATATTTAACCAAAAAAGGAAGAATATTAGCAGCTTCCCCAATGGTGATATTTCATCAATGTACAAGTTCAGGCTGTATATGGTATTTTGTGAGATCACAGTACTTAAGTACAGTTCAAAACAGAAATATAAAGAAGCTTACAGAGATAGTCCTCATGACGCTTCAAATATGAGCATTCCTGTATAGAAATTAGTTACACAAAGGAAATTAGATATGCATAAAGCTGATGAGTTTCAAAGTATAGCAAAGTTATCAGAAAGGAGGACTGGGTGGAGAAGAATCAGGCCTACTCTTTCTAGCACTCACTCTCTGGACATAAATCACACAACAGATTTTCTACATAGCTGTCCCTATCATATGAAATGTCATGCACTCTGTGACTCATGACCTATGCATGGAAGAGTCTGAATTAGAGTTGTAAATAGCAACCTGCTTGGTCACCTATGGCGATAAAACAGAAGTCCTGTACTTTCCAATTTCAGTGCCACTGCTGTTGAGTTTAATGGGATTAATGTCAGAATAAAATCATACACAACATGAATGTAAGCAGCCATGCAAAAAAATATTAAACAAAAATGCACTCCTCTTTTTCAGTGCGTAAAAGTATGTATGAACAATGCCAGTAAGATTTTTGAAGTCTATTTGTAAGGGTTGTCCAATTCTTTCTGAGATGGTCCAGCATTTACACATGTTCACTGGTATTTCTGACAACATACAATACAAACCACTTTTATTTCACATGATGCTATATACGAGATTTGTAGTTTCCAACAGGAAAAAAGCATTACTGTGTAGGATGTTAGGTATCTGCAGAGTAACTCTTCAAGGGCCACAATATTAACTCAATTTTGCTGCTTAATAAAAATTAGCCCTACCAAGATCAGGACTGGTTCTAGTACACCCAGTACTTGTTTCTATCCTCATCATTCCCCAACCTCATCACTGCTGTCTGAAGCAAGTTTCTTTACTCTGCTATCCAATATTGAACTTTTTAGTTACCAAATCAAAGTGTTTCTAATCACAGGAAGAAGTACAGTTGCTGTACAGAAAGTTTCCTCAGAAATCTGTGAAGGTGAGTTAAGGGAAGCACCCTCATAATAAGAAGCATATTAAGAGCACAAAATAATCGTGACTACAGTCACTCAATATAACACACTATTCAGATTTATGTGAACATATTTATTTCTACTTGGTGATTGGCAAGTATCACTTTTTCCACAAAAATATTTATTTAACTTAAACATTAAATACACACGGTCTTCTCAGGGCAATCACAACTTACGTATGCCTTTCTCGGTCACTGCTCTCATATTCCAAAATGACAATCAGACGTGGGTAATGACTGCAGATTTCACCATTCACATTGTGGATCAAGTTGTAGCAATAATCCCTACTGAACAATTCAAGGCAGCATTTTTCAATGTGCTCTACCTATATGGGTAAGAAATAGTTATTACAAATGTAATGTTGTATACTTCTCATAAAAGTACCAATACATTTAAATACAATGCCCTTATTGTATTAGAACATTAATAACAAAAAAAGAATTAAACATTGATATTTAATATCAATTAAAATACAAAATATTCAAGCAAGAGATATTCTAAGCAATTAGCATTTATCCCATGGATTTGCAAGATAGTAGCTATATTTATTCATGGAGTAGCATATATTTGAAATGCTTATCATTCAGAAGACTAACCTCTACTGGAAACTTTGGCCAGGAAACCTTTTAAGTAGAAAGAGTCATCATGCAAAAAACTAGAATAGTTATCCTACAAGAAAGCAGAATATTTTTCCTACAAGTAAGAGTTAGAGTTTATTGACATGATGAAGCTGTCAATCTGCACAGAATTAGGATGTCTGCACTAAATAGTTCCCAGCAAATTAGGAAGCAATGCCCATTACTTTATACAGCATGAAATTTCCCAGCTGCTTTTTGGTTCTCTAATTTTTTGAGGAAGCGTCAAACATGAAACACAGATAAAGTTCAGGGAAGCACTCTGTTAAAAACAAGAGCACCAGAACAAGAGAGAAGCTTTGTATTAGGAACAGATACAGTAGTCCCTGGGTTAAGAATGCCCGGTTTACCGACGACCCATAGTTAAGAATGGAGCCTACTGTAGCAAAATTCGAATTAATTACACGTTACTTATACTCCGGTTTACATACAAATTCGACTTAAGGCCAGACCTTGGGAACAGAACTTGTTCTTAAACTGGGGACTACCTGTAAGTGATAAACAATGGCAACAAATAGGGCGCCACTTCTTTAACAGATATGCAGCACGCAGACCACAAGGATCGGCTTCATACTCCGCAAAGCGTACTTGCAAACCACTGCAACGGTTGATACATCTCTTAGTCCCTAAGGCTGTTTTACTGCTGCAGGTTTGCGGCTGCGGAGAAGCAGCACCGCCTCCTCCCTAGGACAGACGGAAATCCAGTGCGAGAGGCTCCCCAGGAGGGTCTGCATGCAGGCGCGGTGGAGGAGACCTGCGGGTGGTGCCGGGAGCCTCCTCCGTCTCCGCCTTAAGCTGCCAGCGCATCGCCCTGATGGAGGGATGGGGCCACGGAGCGGTCCCAGGAGAGCCTCAGCCCTACTACCCCCGTTCCAGGCCTCCTCCCCGGGCTCACCTTGTTCCTACTGCCGCTCCCCGCGCTGCCGCTGCCCCCAGCCGCGCCCCCGCTTTCCCGGGCCCGGTACTGCGCCCTCGAGAACTCCAGCAGCAGCTCGCCCAAGGCGCGCTCCCCGGAGCCAGCGGCCTGCAGACAGGCGGAGCCGCCCCGGGCACT